CAGGCTATCCTCCTCTACTCTGGACCTCTGGTGGCCTCCAGGAGACCATCCACTATCCCACAGGAGCCTTCTAGGCCGCAGGGACCTCCTATCCTGGTGCTACAGGTGGTGGAGGGACGACCACAGCTGGTGGTGCAGGGGACAGATGGGACGGTCAAGGCGCAAGTCGAAGCCAGAGTCGATGACGGAGATTGGCACACTATCCACCTCTATCTCACTGACAAGGTTTTTAAACCTATCTGTAATGGGATTTTGGGATTTGTAATGGGATTTTGGGATTTATAATGGGATTTTGGGATATGTAATGGGATTTTGGGATTTATAATGGGATTTTGGGATTTATAACGGGATTTTGGGATATGTAATGGTATTTTGGGATTTATAATGGGATTTTGGGATTTGTAATGGGATTTTGGGATTTGTAATGGGATTTTGGGATTTATAATGAGATTTATAATGGGATTTTGGGATTTGTAATGGGATTTTGGGATTTGTTATGGGATTTTGGGATTTGTAAAGGGATTTTGAGATTTGTAATGGGATTTTGGGACTTATAATGGGATTTTGGGATTTATAATGGGATTTTGGGATTTGTAATGGGATTCTGGTATTTGCAATGGGATTTTGGGATTTATAATGGGATTTGTAAAGGGATTTTGAGATTTGTAATGGGATTTTGGGACTTATAATGGGATTTTGGGATTTATAATGGGATTTTGGGATTTGTAATGGGATTTTGGGATTTGCAATGGGATTTTGGGATTTGCAATGGGATTTTGGGATTTATAATGGGATTTGTAAAGGGATTTTGAGATTTGTAATGGGATTTTGGGACTTACAATGGGATTTTGGGATTTATAATGGGATTTTGGGATTTGAAATGGGATTTTGGGATTTGCAATGAGATTTTGGGATTTATAATGGGATTTGTAAAGGGATTTTGAGATTTGTAATGGGATTTTGGGACTTATAATGGGATTTTAGGATTTATAATGGGATTTTGGGATTTGTAATGGGATTTTGGGATTTGTAATGAGATTTTGGGATTTATAATAGGATTTGTAAAGGGATTTTGAGATTTGTAATGGGATTTTGGGACTTATAATGGGATTTTGGGATTTATAATGGGATTTTGGGATTTGTAATGGGATTTTGGGATTTGCAATAGGATTTTGGGATTTATAATGGGATTTTTGGATTTGTAGAGAAAATTCTGGATTTTTAATTTATATTAATCTGTGGATTTGTAGGATTTTTTCACTATTTTTTTGGATTGTGCCCCAAAAATATTTTTCTTATATTATTGATTAATTTTGTTGGATTTGTATAGATATAATTTTTTTTTTTTTTGGATTTGTGTAGAAATATAAATTAATTTTGTTGGATTTGTATAGAAATATAATTTTTTTTTTTGGATTTGTATAGAAATATAAATTAATTTTGTTGGATTTGTGGCTGATTTGTGGATTTTTTTCAGTTTGTGCTAAACAAAAGCATAATAGATGTGATCTTTTGTAGGTGGTGGGCGTGATGGTGGACCTGTGTGGGCGTGGGTGGGAGGAACACTCCCACGGTGACTCCCACTGCGTGGCGTGGGCGGCCTTGAGACGCCCACGGGGCGCCGAGGCGTGGGCAGGGGGCTGGCCCCTGCAGGTGGGCGGTCTAGCACACACACCCACTCCCCCGGGCGCCCACCCCTGGAGCCCAACGCCCATCCCACGCCCACTGAAAGGATGTATATCTCACCTTACTATCAACGGTCAGGTAAGACGAGGCAGGGCGGAGCTAGAGTGGGCGGGCTGGGAGTGGGTGAGGAGGGGTGTGTGGGTTGTTACTGGGCGGGGTGGGAGTAGGCAGTGGTGGGAGTGGGCAGGCTAGGAGTGGGAAGGGTGGGAGTGGGCAGGCTAGGAGTGGGTAGGGTGGGAGTGGGCAGGGTGTGAGTGGGTGGAGGTGGGAGTGGGTGGAGTTGGAGTGGGCAGAGTGGGAATGAGAGGGATGGGAGTGAGCGAGGTGGGAGTGTGAAGGGTGGGAAGTAGGTGTGGGTGGGTGAGTGTTTGGAAGTAGGCACATGATGAGTGGGTGGGGATTAGGAGTAAGGAGCGAATATAGGCGGGGTGGGCAGGGGTGAGCGGGAGTGGGCGGCTGTGGGTGGGAGTAGGCGGGGTAACACTTTCACTCTCCCACAGTATCCCCACAGCTGACGGACCTAGGCTCGCCGCCCCACGCCCACAACACCGCCCACGGCTGCCGCCCACAACAACAAGCATGCGTGGGAGGCTGCGGCCTCCAGGGCCACTGCGTGGGCGGCCTTCACCGCCCACAGTGCCAGTGCCCGCCAGGATGGGCAGGGAAGCACTGTACTACGCCCACTACGCCCGTCACTCTACGTCAGGCATCGTACATGAAGGTGGCGCTGTCGTACACGCCAATGGCGCGCACCGTGACCGCGCAAGTGCGCGTCAGGATGACAACTGCGCGCCACGGCCTCCTACTGCGCCTCGCCCAGGAACAACACAGCGCAGCTCTCAGTATACATGTACGTATGACTCAGTATACATGTACGTATGACTCAGTATACATGTACGTATGACTCAGTATACATGTACGTATGACTCAGTATACATGTACGTATGACTCAGTATACATGTACGTATGACTCAGTATACATGTACGTATGACTCAGTATACATGTACGTATGACTCAGTATACATGTACGTGTGACTCTTACATGTACGTATGACTGAGGGACTGATCACCTCTTCTACTGTCATACTGTCTCTGCGCTGGACTGATGAAACCACTGCTTGACCTACCCGATGTTTGACACATGTCTAACTCACCTCTGTCATGTCTGTTCTAAGTGGAAGCTGTGCTCAGTAATAATAATAATAAATAATAATAATAATAATAATCTAATTTTTCTTCCTTGGTAGGTGCGTGAGGGCGTGGCGTGCGTGTCCGTGTCTGGCGTGGGCTGGGAGACGCGGGAGGCGTGCGTGGAGGGCCATCCTTTACACGACGGGGTGTGGCACTTGGTCCGTGGCGGTCGACACGGACACAACCTGGTCATCAGTGTCGACGACGGTGACCTGTGGAGTAGGAACGAGTCCTTAGTCACCTTCGACCTGGTCAGGGATGCCCGGGAGAGGCCAGGTCAGGGACCAGGGGTCAGGTCACCACCCCCAGGAAACCCCCCTCGACCCCTTATTGTAGACAGGAATGATGGGGTTAATGTGGGTGGTGTGCCGGAGTTCGTGGGGACGACTCTGGTCGCTGTTCACGACGACCTTCACGACGGTAAGTCGTTCCAGGAGCGGTCGTTTGAGGTCTTGAAATCCTGGTGTCGTTCACACCACAACTTAGTGACATTTAAGTTCTAAGTCTTAGCGATGCAAGTTCAAGTATTTAAAATCTTTAAATTGTACGTACTAGTTAAATAATAATAATAATAATAATAATAATAATAATAATAATAATAATAATTTAATAGGTAATATGCCTTTCACAAAAAATAATTTTTACTATCTTAATGCAGTATGCCTTGATGACTTGAGGATATCTGGTAGGCCTATGCCCCTCCCTCCAGCCTCCAATGGTACTCCATGGGGCCAGGTGACCACCCTGGAGGGTCTAGAGCCAGGGTGCCTAGCGTCAGACCCCTGCCACACTGCCACCTGCTTTCCACCCTTCACCTGCAGTGTCTCCTGGGGCCAGGCCATCTGTAGGTGAGCAACCTCCAGCCACACCATCTGTGATTACACCATCTGTAGCTTAGAATTGCAAGACCAGAGCAAATCATCTGCAGGTGGTGAATCTTCCTTTTAAGTCTGGTCTACACTAATACCCTTCCCCATCCATTACAGGTGTAGCCCAGGAAGTGAACTTGTGGGCCGTACGTGTACGGACCTTGATGAATGCACGTATCAGCCGTGCCTGAACGGGGGTACGTGTGTGAACGTACATGGTGGGTACCACTGTGTGTGTGGACCAGGGTATGCTGGTGCCAGCTGTGAGTGGCCCAGTCTAGCCACACCGGCCCACCTTTTGGCCACACCTCTGCTGGTAGCTGGTCTCACACTGTCTGTCCTGCTCGTAGGTCAGTATTTAAGGTTGTTACTGTGTGTATGAGGGTTATTACTCTCTCTCTCTCTCTCTCTCTCTCTCTCTCTCTCTCTCTCTCTCTCTCTCATACTTGGAGAGATTATGTCTAATAAAACACTTCCGCTGAACAATAATGCCTCCATAGGCAATTATTTATGCCTAACAAAAGCAGCAACAATGATAATCTCTATTATTTAGTTGCAACAGTGAAGCTAAGAGCTGCGACCTCTTCCACAGTGCTCTTGGGAGTGCTGCTCTCTCTGCGTCTTCAACGAAAGGCTTCAAACGGAGGTACGAGCTCTCAACGGCATCGAGAGCCGGGTACCCTCATGGAGATGGAGGGGAAGATGGAGAAGAGAGGAGGAGGAGGGAGAAACAGGAGAGGAAGAGAGGCTGGTCAGGGAGATGAGGAACACAGAACCTTCCTGGAACTCATGAGTCTCCCCTACCCAAGAAGAACTCAACAGAAAATGGGTAATTAAAAAGAAAACACAGAAAATGGGTTATTTCCCAAAAAAATGGAAAAACACAGAAAATGGTTAGATAATCACAGAAAATTAGTAAGAAATTTATTAAAATAATATGTAATTAAATATTTTAATTTTGTACATAAAATAATAATAATAATAATTAATAATAATCTATACAATGAGGTACAAGGTACAAGGAGTACAAGATCACCAAGTACAGGGACATAAGCCAACAGTATCAATTTATCCCGGTGAGATCAGGTACCTTGGGATCATGGGGAAAAAATGCCATACGTTTCCTTAAAAAATTGGGTTCCAGACTCATCGACACCACCAGGGACCCAAGGGCAGCCACTTTCATGTTCCAGCGCCTCAGCATAGCAATCCAGAGGGGAAATGCTTGCTGCATACTTGGCTCGCGTCCAGCCTCGGAGGAGCTGGAGGAAATTCATGATCTTTAATACATTGTACCATTGTATTCATGTTTGTGTTTTTCTGCAAATGTATTCTGTTTATTAATAAATATTCCTATAGAATATAAAATATATAGGGGTGGTAGGAGAAGAAAATATTCCAGCAGCTCCGGGGAGAACCTTGAGTTTTCCCTGAGGTGCGTTTATTGTCTTCTCTGAGGATGACGGTCCCCAGTCAAGCTATAGAGGTGGTACCTCCCTATATATATATATATATATATATATATATATATATATATATATATATATATATATATATATATATATATATATATATATATATATACACTGTAAGTTTACATTAATTACTATTTTAGGTATTAAAGTATTCTTGATAGGTAATGCACAGGTAACATGCAGCTTTAATGACCCTTGAGTAGTAGACAGGTTTGAAACCCAATTAACCCAAATCATTTCTGTGTCACTTCAGGTCAAAGCGACCATCCTCCTCCCGTGTGTGGGCCACACCTTCCTGAAGGGTTAAAGGTCACCCTCCCATCAGGTCATACTGATTCACCATCCTCGACTTCTGTTACGTCAGGTGATGGTACAGTATTAGTCGTTACAAGTTATCAGTCGTTTATCATGCCATAATAACCTGTCGGTATTCTTGATTATCAATACATTCTCATTCTCTCTCTCTCTGTCTCTCTCTCTCTCTCTCTCTCTCTCTCTCTCTCTCTCTCTCTCTCTCTCTCTCTCTCTCTCTCTCTCTCTCAGGACGTCAGCTGGACGGTGTTCAGAAGTCCAGCATCTCTGGAGTAATCGACCTTTTGAAACATCTGCCTGGCATCTCCACGACCTCTCACGTGCCGGCCCAGGAGCTAGAAAACCACAGTATGGAGCAAGGGACTGGTAGAACGGAGAGTGGAAGAGCTAAAACGGGAAGAGGAACTATAAAGACAGAAACTGGGACTGTGGAAATGAAGGTTAAAAGAGTGAAGATGGAGAGTGAAACAGGAAGAACTGAAGCAGGTGTTGCAAGGGCAGAGGCAGGTGTTGCAAGGGCGGAGGCAGGTGTTGCAAGGGCGGAGGCAGGTGTTGCAAGGGCGGAGGCAGGTGTTGCAAGGGCGGAGGCAGGTGTTGAAAGGGCGGAGGCAGGTGTTGCAAGGGCGGAGACAGGTGTTGCAATGATAGATGCAGATATTACAAAAACAGAGGCATATGTCGAAAGGACGGAAGATGTTACGACAAGGACGGAAGATGTTACGACAAGGACGGAAGATGTTACGACAAGGACGGAAGATGTTACGAGAGGGACGGAGACAGCAGTCAGAGAAAGAGAGCACACACAGTAGCCATCTTCCTTCAAAGGAAGAGACCTGGGTTAGATACCCGGATAGAGGCAAGACTTACAAACAAGCCTCAATATAACACCTGCTTCTCCTAATTCACCTAGAAGTAACAAGTTACCTCCTTGTTAATCACCTGCCAAGATAGCGTAGCTGGTTTTTCCATCCTCAGATAGATAGCACATGATAGACAGTTGTCAAAGGAGTTACCTTGGCGCAGGTCAAGGTTACCTTACTTTCCCCCAGATGCTGTGTGCCCCTTACGGGCTTAACACTTTCCCTTTAACGTAATAATAATAATAATAATAATAATAATAATAATAATAATAATAATAATAATAATAATAATAATAATAACAGTAACAATAAAATAAAATATCACGTGTTTATAAGTGCTTTATTTCATCCCTTTTTTTTATAAGTAAAGGAAGAGGCTGAGTTACTTTATTCTGTCTTCAACGCTGAACAAACTGGACTGAATGTTGAGGACAGTGAGGCAGCTGTGGCCTGGTAGGTGACGCTCTGGCCTCACATACTGTGTATCCGTGGTTCAATCCCCGGTCGAGTGGAAACAATGGGTGTTTCCTTACACCTGTTGTCCCTGTTTCCCTAGCATGTAGGTACCTGGGGTGTTAGTGGATGGGTGTGGGTGGCATCCTGGAGGGCAAGATTGAAGGACCAGAATGGAAATGAGACAGACAGTCCTTGATGACGCACTGACTTTCTTGGGTTATCCTGGGTGGTTAACCCTCCCCTGGATTATCCTGGGTGGTTAACCCTCCTTACACCTGTTGTCCTGTTCACCTAGCAGCAAATAGGTACCTGGGTGTTAGTCGACTGGTGTGGGTCGCATCCTGGGGGACAAGATTAAGGACCCCAATGGAAATAAGTTAGACAGTCCTCGATGACGCACTGACTTTCTTGGGTTATCCTGGGTGGCTAACCCTCCGGGGTTAAAAATCCAAACGAAATCTTATCTTATCTTAGGGTTAAAAATTCCAACAAGAATTTTATACAAGTTGCCCTAACATCATGTACAGTTTTCTTTAATAACCATCTTCAAAGAAAACGAATGCTTATTTCTAACATTAACTATATTAATTATCATCTTTGTTCCGTTTTCCTCGTCAGGAATTAGTAAGCTGATGTTAGGCTCCACTTCCCGCTGCCTACATGGGTCGTGACTAAGAAAAATGTTACCTGACAACACCTGAAGCCTTGGTGGGACATCGTGGGGTATCCTGGCTCAGCTAGTAGCTGCCTCAGCTCACAAACTGAGGGAACGGGGTTCGATGTCTTGTATTATCATATCCTAGCTTAGCCTATTTTGTCTTAGTCATTCTTCGTTGTCTACCCATTTTCGCTAGAGAGATAGATAGATAGAGAGAGAGAGGGAGAGAGAGAGAGAGAGAGAAAGAGAGAGAGAGAGAGAGAGAGAGAGAGAGAGAGAGAGAGAGAGAGAGAGAGAGAGAGAGAGAGAGAGAGAGAGAGAGAGAGAGAGAGAGAGAGAGAGAGAGAGAGAGAGAGAGAGAATGGGGCTCACATATTTGTGAATACCGTGTATAAGACATAGTTCACAGCAAAGACGAGTTTGATCACAATTCAAACACAATTGGATTCTCCAGCCAGCAGGATTGGATTCTCCAGAAAACAGGATCGGATTCTCCAGACAACAGGATTGGATTCTCCAGAAGAGAGGACTGGATTCACCAGAAAACAGGATCAGATTCTCCATTCAAAAGGATTGGATTCTCCAACAAACAGGATTGGATTCTCTAGACAACAGGATTGGATTCTCCAGTCAACAGGATGGGATTCTCCAGCCAACAGGATTGGATTCTCTAGACAACAGGATTGGATTCTCCAGTCAACAGGATGGGATTCTCCAGCCAACAGGATTGGATTCTCCCATAAGTGGGGATGAATTCATCCCTGTAATATCTTCTCTATCCTCCTGTACAAAGATTTAGATTTTTTTACATTTTGCCACCGAAGTGGCTAGTTTATTGTGCACCCCATATCCATCCTGTGGACGGTAGCGCGAGAGCATGTGGATACACAAAAGGCCTAGGAATTAGGCCCAAAAGGGTTAACAGGAATACATATGGATTTATATCTACATATCTATAGTTCACTTATCTGTTACAAGCAAATTTAGGAAATTTGCTTAGTATATCTGGTATCTTATTTTCATTAATAAGATATCTTGACATGTCACATAGGTTATTATACTGTCTGTCTCTGTATTCCTCAATAAGTGGACAATTAAGCACATAGTGTTCAAGAGAGTGACCATATGCCTGATCACATAATTTACATTTAGTTTGATCATCATCTGTGTGTCTCCCAAACTGCCAGAAGTACTTGTAACCAAGCCTAAGTCTGGTCACTACAACATCAGTCAGCACTTGTAACCAAGGCTAAGCCTGGCCAATACAACATCAATTAGTACTTGTAACCAAGCCTAAGTCTGGCCACTACAACATCAGTCAGCACTTGTAACCAAGGCTAAGCCTGGCCACTACAACATCAGTCAGTACTTGTAACCAAGCCTAAGCCTGTCCACTACAACATCAGTCAGTACTTGTAACCAAGCCTAAGCCTGGCCACTACAACATCAGTCAGTACTTGTAACCAAGGCTAAGCCTGGCCACTACAACATCAGTCAGCACTTGTAACCAAGCCTAAGCCTGGCCACTACAACATCAGTCAGTACTTGTAACCAAGCCTAAGCCTGGCCACTACAACATCAGT